AACCCGAAGTAAGGCTCAGGAATCTACATTTTTAAAAACATATTTGGGGATCACTGACCCAATCCACCACTTTGATTTTTTTTTTAGAGGAGAACTGGAAACTCATGGAGATGAAGTGGTGCTCCTAAAGGCACAGTGAGTTCACGGCAGAGATGAGCTCTCAGATGCTGAGATCATGGGGGAGAAGATCCCCAGGTCAGAGATGCCTCTCCTGTGTCTCGTACTATCGTCTAAGTTCTCACATGTTAGAGGTGAATTAAAAAAAAAATCAGTTAAGTGGAAAAACTAGCTTAGCTCTACTAAGTTCTTCTTGCTGTTGTTTTCTGCCTTTGGGCTGGGTGAGGCATGACTGTGAAAGGAAATGGCACAGTAAGAAGAAAGACAGGATTTTAATTCACATCTGTCCTGTAAAGACCTAAGAGTAGTAGTGGTTATTTTGTTTCGCTTTTTAAACCTTCAAGTAAGAAGAAGGATTAAACCCTTCAAGATATAAACACTGATGCCATGTACCTGATACCCAACACTCCCTAAAAACTTGGGATCCCATAAGACGGGAAGAGAATTGTCAGGGACCTTGCTTGGTGTTTCTAGAGCCCACAGGCTGGATTCCCTTGGGTGAGTTTTGACTGGACGTTTAATTATAATCTTGGATGGGTCACAGGTTATTGCTCTCACCAATTCCTACCAGGGCTTGTACATCATTGTCCAGCAGCTATTCAGCTTTTGTTACTATAACAATAAAAGGATAAGGCTAAGCCACAGCCTGACTCACAACAGAAGAACTAGAAATCATGGGCCAGTTCAGTTGAGCATTCCGGCTCAGCACACAGCTGAGCCAGAACTCTTGGGGAACGAGGATTCAGAAGCAACCCAGTGACTTCCCTGCATGCAGACCCCAGCACTGGAGGCACCTTGTCTTCTGCCTGGAACACTATCATTCTGAACACAAATAGTTATGGCGATTAAGAACAAGGACTACATCCTGTCAGGTCATCAATACTTACAAAAATACAACACAGACAAAAGTTTACGTCAGTTGTCAGCTTCTATGAAGCAAGCTCACACTTCCCTCAAAACCCCTGTACTAAGACTGCTCTGATTCATTCTCAAGTAAATATGTGGCCAAGGGAAATGGTGAATGTACTTTAAACTTAAGTCAGACATGACTCTGCAGCAATAGTATTACCACTGCATTCCTTCATTCATTCACTCATTCTCAATTACATCTCTAAGTCAACAACTGGAAATAAACTCTTTCAACCAGTCAAAGAAAATTCCTCGTGGCACATAAAATCAGTGAAAAGGGAAGGAATGCAGAAAGGGCAGATGAACTTGTGATGGTAATAGCTGGTGCATCTGAAAGCATCACACCCAGCAATTTACAACCTCCCTGCGAAGCTTGTCAAGGAGCACAAGACTGTCAGCTGACTAGGGTTTGGTTTTCTCTCTACCCACTTCATTCAACCTGTCTAACAGCTATACTTTCTTAGTATTAAAGCAGAATACTTTTCACATAGTGAAATGGTTTTCTTTCTAAATGAAGAACACAATGAAAAACACTCTCCCCACCCCTACAACCTGCATTAGACTTTCTTTTAATAGCCTTTTACTAAAATCTTCAGTTTTTTGGTCATTGCTTTAGCATCTCTCTCTCTAAATCTAATAACTGTTTTTTTAAATTCCTAGTCAGAAATCCTAACTAATATAAATAAAGACTAGGAGTAAAATCTACTACACAGCTTATCTCTGTGGAGCAGTTTGCTAGTGGAAAATACTGGTTTCTGCACTTATTTTCCTGTTAAGTGACTACTGCAAACAATCTAAGGCTCTTTCTTTTGTAATAGAATTAGTTAATCCAAATCATAGAGAAAGTCCCTGTCAATAATTCATTCTACCCCCAAAACTGGCCCAAGTCCTAAAGAAATCCATAAAACCAAGCACAATGGTGCAAATAAAGAATACTGTCCAAATAATAGACAAGCCAGGTGTCCACGTTCATGAATTCTTCCACTCCTTCCATCCTGGTGATTCTAAAGCAGTAAGAGACTCTTCTGAATCCAAATTTCAAGATATGAAACTTAAAGCACAATTGACTCTGAAGTGCTTTCAGTTCCTCTTCACTGTGTGTGAGGTGAACTTGTTAACACTAGGTCTACCAAATGTTCTCTTGCCATCAGAGAAAACAAAGAGTCACAGATAATGCTTGGCAAATACTCCCAGATACCTCATATAAACACCCTAAGACCTTAACCTCATTTGCTGGGAGAAGTTTGGAAAATGAAGTTATTAGCAGCTTTGCTATGGTTGATATTTTAAAAAAGAAGACTGGAAGCAATTGTTTGAAGACTACATCATATACCCAGCATTGTTTTTCAGAATTACTAGATTTTAACTGAATTTTAGCAAGAAATTTTTTTTTTTTTACTGACAAGCTTTAACTGTCTCATCAAAATCTGTAGATTTTTGTGATTCTGGAATTTTGTGAAATAAATTGAACCCCAATATCTGTCATTCTAGAGATTAAGGAGAATGGAGGTGAAGATACAGAGGACACTTCTATTCTGAAAGAGATAATTCCAGATGCACCATAATTGGACGATTAAAGTGTTTCTTTCTGTACAGAACTGTGTCAGTTTTACATGTGGTCCTGGTCACCTTTAGGTATCCAATGGACTCCAATGTATTTGTGTAATCTTTCCCTTCACCTTTGAATAACTGGAAATCACAAGGAGAAGAAAAAAAAATTACTGTGCTCTGCTAAAATGACCACTTAAAACTATTGATTTAAGATACTGGAGAGCAAAGAGGGAGCTGGAAGTCTACGTAACTGCCACCTGACTTGAACAAACAGATAAGTTGTGAACATTTTGGAGCCAGATCCTTACAGAGCAAGCTTCTGTCAATAATTCACTCTGAAACTGGCCCAAGTCCTAAAGAAATTCAGAAAACCAAGCACAATACTGCAAATAATGAATACATTTTCAATATCGTAGGAAGGGGAAGAGAAAGTGGAGGCGGTCTACCAAGACAACTGGTCTGACTAGCAATGAATTCCACTTCATTGGAAAGTATATGTCATCACTGTACAGAATTCTAAAAAAATCTCAACATCAAAGAAGTCAAAATAAGGAAAGGAGATAATGGATATGAAAATGTTAAGATTAAAGTTGCTTAAATAAAAATGATTAAAATCCACCAATGAATAGCAAGTTTGATCAAAGTGAGAAGCAGAAGTTCATACCAAAAACTTTGAGAGACTTTTAAGAAAAAGTTGTGTGCTTCTGCATGTTCTTTTCTTTCTCTCTCTCTCTTTTTCCTTTTTTTTTTTTTTGGCTTATAAACAACAGAAAGTTATTTCTGGGAAATTCAAGATAATGGTGCCAGAAGATCTGATTTCTGGTTAGGGTCTGCTTCCTGTTTTATAGAAGGCTAGCTTCTCTCTGTGTCCTCAGTCAGGGGAAAGGTGCCAGAGAGCTCTCTGAAGTCTTGCTGATTCCATTTATGATGGGCCCACCATCATGACCTAAGCACCTCCCACAAGCCCACCGCTAGTACTGCCATGCTGGAGATTAGGTTTTAGTATATGAATTTTAGAAGGTCACAAATATTCAGTTTGATAGCAACTGCTTACAGACTTTCTTTGTTCCAAAAATTAAGACAGCTGGGACCAATTCAACAGTTGTGTATTTAATTCATTAATTAACATAAATACTACATTTATACTGCTCTCACTTACTGCCAGGTACTGTTCTAAGAGTTTTACAAAAATTACTACATTTAATCCTCACAAAAATCCTATGACTTGGATACTATTACCATATTCATTTTAAGTTGAGGAAACTGATGCTCAGAGAGGTCAATTAATTTGCTTAAGGCCACATAGCTGCTAAAGCTATAGCCTTTAATCTTCTTTTTTAAATTTAAGTATAGTTGATATTCAACCTTATTTGATTTCAAGTATACACACAGTGGTTCAACAGTTACCCATAGTATTAAATCCACACCCCAACTAGTGTAGTTACTATCTGTCAACATAGGGAAGATGTTACAGCATCACTGGGTATATTCTCCAGCTGTATTATCATCTCTATATCTGTGATGTTATTTTCTTTTGTGGATGCCACCCCCCTTACCCCAAATATCTATCTGGGGAATCTAAAATTGTATGAATAACAAAAATTTATGAAGCATAACAATTTACTCACCATTTGGACTATCAAAAAAAAGACTATAAAAGAAACTAAAGACTAAAAAAAAAGAAACAAGCCCATATAGAGTCACTTGTCCCCAAGCAAAGACTTATTCACAGTTTCTGGTCAGCATCAATAAGGTAATCTGTTGCTTGGGGCCCTCTCCATTCCCCAAAAGAAGGTGAGGTCTGGTGCACGATGAGACCCCCTGCTTTTCCCCCTTTGGGAGGGTGACTTTACTTGAAACAATCTTTTCTTTTCCTTTGCTAACTCCCTTACCCCACACTTGTTCCTATAAAAACCTTCCATTTTGGTACAATTCCTTAGAGCACCTCTCTACTTACTAGAAGGGATGCTGCCTGATTCATGAATCGCTTAATAAAGCCAATTAGATCTTCAAATTTTGTTGTTTAACAGGATTAAGTGAGAACTCCCAATCGTGTGTCCCATCTACCAAATGTGGTGGTACTTCAGGCCTGCAGCTCTTTCCCAATGATCACTGTGAATTGTATTGCTACATAGCTTCAACATAGGACAAGGAGGTAACCATTTCTTGCAAGCTGGCTCCAGCAGAGGTAATGAAAAGTTAAGAAGAAAGCAGATAAATTGAAACAGTCACGAAAAAACACCCATGCCTATACCTTTTCTATAAAGGAAAGAACTTGTTTCTGCACACCCAATAACCACGTCTTGTCTTCTACTTAAAAGCTCTCAGAAAACAACTTTCAGATCAATACAATTTAATCTGCTTGGTACACAGTGAATCAAATTAAAAATCTGAGATTTTAAAATAGAACTAATGCTTCAAACCTGTTGTCCAGTTCCATGTGATCTGTGCCCCTTCCTACCCTGGCACATTTTCGAATCTTTGTGCATAACAGGGTCTTGTAAGTCCTCCCAGCTCCAGAAACAGCATCACTCACACATCTGGCTGAATTCTGCCAGCCCCCTGGCCGGTTTGGGGTCTTCGCTGTGCCGCCGCACATCCCCTGAGCCGTTTAACCTTCTTCTGGTTTATCCCGACTATCAACATGGACTTGGACACGAACGCTGAAGATCCTTGGTTGTTGGAGGGATATTCCACAATGGCCAGCCGTCCTAAATGATCCCTGCACTGCTGATACAGTAGGTGAGACAAGCTACTTGGCAGCAGCCTACTAATTTCCTCTTTTAAAAGTGAAAAAAAAAAAAAAAAGAAAAGAAAAAGAAAAAAGGGAACATTCATGTGTTACGTAAATTAAGCCTGCCAAAGATTTAGGAAGTCAGATGCATCCATCACGTTATAGAACATGCTCTCAGCAAACCCATTATAAACAGACAAGTCCAAATCTCACTTCCTACTTTTGTTCCTAAGCTTGTACTCTGGTTGGCAAAAGACAAAACACTCAACAGGTTGAGCAGCTTGGACTGACTCACTCCATCTGTGCTCCCCTGTTGGAGTTTATGCAGTAGTCAATTAATCGGTCACAAGACCTATTCATATGGCTCTGGGCAAATGCAGCAACTTGCCTTCAGCTGCAAGGTTGTTGTGACATTGGCCACATCACCCTCTTAATGGCTCTCATGTGAGCAAGTGTCAGCTGACGAGTCTTTACTCTGCAACTTTGCAAAATTCTACCTATGGCAAATGAGAGATACGGTTACAACAGACAAATGTAGGGCTTAGTGCATAGGAGGTCATGCCAGGGAGGAAGAGTAGGGACACATCCTTGCTTTAATACAAAATATATATATATATGTTTAATACTAATACATACATAGTAGTAAGAAAAACAATAAACGAGAAGCCAAAATCTCTCAAAACCCTTGCACTGAATACTTGATTACTGAGCATATTAAAACCAAGAAAACCCTAAACTACCAGAACCCAAGGACAAAAGCAGTTCAATTCTGGCTTCTGACATGAACACACATCTGTAAAATGAGAATAATGCCACAGAAAAAATATGATTTTTCCACAGTATTGTGAATTCATGGAAAAAATAATTTTTCTTTTAGAAACAATAAAAATCATAAGATCCTAAAACACAGGTCAAGTCTTGATACAAAAAAACTGTAAGGGATAGTCCCAATTCCTTTTCCTTTTCCTCAGCCTTGAATTTGGCTGAAGAAAACATTAGCAGGTCCCTGAAGTCTGACAAACCTTGGCTGGGTCTTTAGTTCAGGAGGTTTTAAATGTATCTTTACACATGGCAACCACATACTTCACTCTACAAGTGTGAGAAAAATCTAATGACACCACGGCAGGGACCTTAATTACCTGAAGTCTTTATTATAATGTGACCCTAACGTTCCTTTATAACAAACCAGAAAAGATCTTAAATACACCCTCCTGAGAAATGCAGATCACAACACACCTACAACAACAACGAGATTTCTCTCTGTGGCACATGCTAAGTGGACAGTGCCAAAATAAAACCAGAGCAGCAGAAAATGAATTTATTTTTCCAGGACAGGGAGCACATTTTTGAGTTTTAAGGCTTAACTGCATGACCACAGTGTGATTATGGGTTCCTTTTTTCCTTAGAACTGTCTTTAAAAAATCACTTTATCTTTTTAACAGAGAATCAGATCACTCATGGAGGCCCTATGATTTTTCCATTTCAGGCCCAGGGTGGCCTGATGAGCAAAGACTGTGGTCAAGCGTCCTTCCACCATCATCATGCCAACCCAACCCACAGCCCAAGGAGGCCCCCAGTCAACGTCTCCAGTCCACCTGGGGCTCAGTGCCTCTAAAACCATAGGAGAAATGGAAGTATAGTTCAATGTTGATAGGGTGGGTGCTTTAAAATGCCAAAATAACTTAAGTTTGTAAAATATGTAGAGGCAATGCCAGGGGAACACATCCTATATTTTATGTATAAAAAAAATGAATTTCACTTTTAAAACTTTGATCTCTAAAAGACATTTATCTAGGACATGATGAAAGGACATAAAACCCTCTTTTAAAATATGTATTCTGTGCATACATTTACCTAGTAGATGGCCACAAAGCTATTCAATCATTCTGATATTTTATTTTCCAAAGGCTTTAAATACTGTTACAAAAAATGCAAATTATATCCCCTATCCAGATGATGCAAATATTTTAAAGGATCAGAATAATGTGAGATGAAAATGGCAACATGGTTACAAAAGACATTTGGATAAAATTAAAATCAAACTGCATTGGGAAAGAATTCCCTTCAACAAAAACTAAAGTGAATGGCATAGGAAACTCTAAACCGTTTCTGTGTGGTTCCTTCATTCAGCCAGCCATCTTTATCTAAACACTTACCAGGTCCCAGTCCTTGTTTCTCCCTAAATTCAGTCAGCACACCTTTCAGCCACCATTTCCTTGGTAGCACAGCACTCAAACACCAGCAGGCTTATGAACACAAACTGCTGGGCCTTGTCCCAGGGTTTCTGATTCAGCAGTTCTGGGGTGGAGTCTGAGAATTTACATTTCTAAAAAGCTCCCACAAGGCTCTTGCAGCTGGCCTGGGAACCATACAGTTGAGAACCACTTCCTTGGTAAACATTCCATCTTTCCCAAGAAGACTTTCTAGGCTGGAAGATTTTTTTCTCCCTTGAATTTCTAAAATATTTTTAAACCATACTTTTAACGTTTAATACATAATTGCTTTGCAAAGAGTAGTGCACATCCCTTCTGATTCTAACTAGATCATAAGTTAAACTTTGAGTCTAAAAACTGGGTCTTGACATTCATCTTTGTACTTCATATAGGTCTTACTCATGTAAGTTAACTTTTGTTGATTTAATAACATTAAATATTTACATTAAAACCAGGATATGAATCTACCTGCACTAAGCAGTGTGCTTAACAGCCTGATGGATGTGCTTGTTCTCAAACACATACACTCAATCTTTCTCTCTGACTAAGGCAAAAGTTTCTTTAGAAGCTTTAACATCTTGTGTCAATGTGACTCATGTGGTATCTTAACAGAAAGAACTTAAAGACTTTTTTAAAAGTGAAAATGAAATTTCCTCTCTTCCTCCCCTAACGACCCTTAATTCCACAGTTCAAAATCTGATAAAATGTAATCGAGATGTATATCAAACCACAACCATGTACTTAAAAGGGGTGCCTCTATATGGCTCCACAAATTTCCTTATATTTAAATGGAAGTTTTAAAATTTCTTCAGTCAATGGAAAAACAAATAATAATATCATCACAACCATTCTTCTGAGATACTAGCGAAGCTCATAGAGTAGCTAGAAGAAAGGTATCTTTAGACCTTCAGTAGTCAAAATTCTGTTCTCTACTCAATCCAATCTCCTTTCTCCATCTTCTCTTTTCCAAAATGGAGTCATACTCACACTATTACTCATTATCATAATAGATACTCTACTCTTAGATATTAAATAATATACATATTAAAATGTACCACTGACCCTGTTTAAAACCCTACTCAGGGTCTCTATTTCCTTCACACAGTTCAGCCATGTTTGTACATTTAGAAAAGTATCTGCGATCACTGACTGGACCCCACACTCCACCTGTGGCTCAATATGTTGACTGGAAGTACTGATGCCAACACAGACACTCCCACAGTACAGATGAACTTTGTCAGATGTTGGAAAGGGAATCAGAGAAGTATGGAAGTATTATGAATCCATGTGATATATGTAAGGGAAACTAATATTTCAACTTTTTAAGCTGTAGTTGTTCTATTTCCAATCTCACAGCCCAGGTATTGAGAGTCATTCTAGAGAAGAGTGCTGATAAGTTTACGAGTCAAGAAACAGCCTATGTATCACTTAGATCATACAAGGCAAATACCTGGTGCTCAAGATACCAGTCCAATCTCTTTTGCCCATGGCGAAAACCTCTGAGCAACGAGAATAGCTTCCTGTTGTGCCTAGACTCCTTTCCAAACCCTTCCAATGCAGCATCCCAGGGACCCTCCTCCAATCCAAAAGATTTGGCATCTGAGGAAAAATCAATTCCCAGGTCTGATCTAGAGTTGGAAGAATTAAAGTCAGGAAGTTTCAAGGTAAGTATTTATTCATTTCTGTATTCCTTTGACTTCACACTCTTCAGGCAATTAAAGAAACAAACAAGGAAAAACAAAACCATGATCACTGTGTGTAAGGAAACATCAAAAGCCACAACTGAGAAAGGTAGGTTTGCTGAGAGTAAAAGGAAGTTCCTAACATAGTTCCCTAAAAAGTCCAGCCCAATTATGCTAATCTAACAAATCTTTCTATAAAGAAATTCTATCTGCCTATTCACATTACCTTAATGAGAAAAAAGGAAGAATAAACGGAGGGGAGGGAGTGGCAGGGCTCGTGATCCACAGCCGCAGCCACAGCTGACCCTTGTCTTAGGGTGTAAAATTCCCTCTCCCATAGTGCCTTTTTCACACCTATGAGCAACTGATCACAAGCCTTTCTAGCAGTAGTTTTCAAAATGACCCCCAGAAGGAGATACAAAAAAATTACTGGGTGCTGGAAAACTACTGTTTCTTGATCTGGGTGCTGGTGCTGTAAACACACAGCAAGCAAAATATGTATATTTTTCTGTCATAGTTCAATATAAACTTAAAAAAAAAAGGCCCTCACACTAGGCTAGAGCAAGCGGATAAGGTAAGGGGATGAGAACACTTAACTGAAATAGTGTGGGTTTTGGAGACAGATCCAGACTTAAGACCAAATCTGTCAATATTTGGCTGTTTTCAGAAACATGATCATGAATAGATCCTAATACCTAAGCAGTGGCCCATCTTCACAATACCAGGCCAGTGTGCAATTAGAAAATAACATACCTGCACTAATGCCATGTAACCATCTAAACTTATCTGACAAGTTCAGCACTCAGGAACTTTGGCAGTATGTACAAACTCAGTCATACAAGGTAGATAATAACTAGCTAGACTTATCAAGAGCTTATTTTACATGCCAGGCATTGTTCTGACAGTGTTTCATGTAATCACAGGAAATCAGCAGCACTAATATCTTAACAGATGAGGAGAACAGAGCACAGAAAGGTTGAGGAATTAATCCAAATTATATAGGCTGTTGGCTGCAGAGCAGCAGGACTTAAGCACAGGTGGTGCACATCTATGCCTGAGCATCTGAAGATTGATTTGGGAAGATGTTGAGGAGAGGCAGTTGGACATCATTGACTGATAAAGTAAATCAAATTCTTCTTCC